CTTAATTGGGGCGAACATATCTTGTTGTTCTTCTCGTTTTTCTATTGAGTTTACATTTTCCAATTTACGTTTGTGCTGCTCGACAAACCTAAGACCAGAGAATAATGAAAGATAGTGAAATTTAACTAATTGATATTACACTTAAACATTGACCACATAAAGTTCGATTGAGCAAAATGTGAAAACAGAAAACAGCAGACAGATTTCAAAGCAATCTACATATTCTGTATTTTGACTAGAGAATAATGAAAGATAGAGCACTTGACTAATCGACTTTAGGCTTCATCATTGGCAACTTAAAGTTTCCCAGAGGAGGCATGCACCTAACAAACCAAGTGACCATAGAAGGTGCAGCAGAAAAGGCTATACACAAGCCCCACTGGCCAAATCCTAGCCTGGCTGTCCCTGAAAACCCATTCAGAAGTTCCACCATTATAAACTGAATGGAAATAATTAGTCCGATGAAGCTCAAGAGAAGTTTTTTTCTTTTGCATCTCCTCAAAAATGTTCTTCTCCAAAAGCCTGGGATTGAATATGTTGATTGTTGAAGTCTTGACAGAGAATGTATGTACTAAGGACCAAAGAATCCTTTTCCTTATCATTTACATTAAATAATGATTTACCTTTGAAATGTATAACCAGAAAGATGGCTATCTGATATAAAGCTTGAGCCCCAATTTTTTCACGCATTTGGGCTGTGATTAGTGGCTCTTTCAAGTTTCTTGGTGGCCTCCGCATAACATCTTGAGATGGCTTCTCTATATTGAGTGCAAGAACTGCTAAAGTACCAGCAATCAGTTTCATCCACAAAAGTTGAAATACTGGAAATGGAATTTTTCCTGTTGAAACAGCTACCATAGCACTCAAACCAGGGGGTTCACTAGATGAAACAGCCATCACAAAGTCAATCACCAAAGCACAAAACTTGCAATGAGCAAAAACTGAGTATAAATCTGGACACTGTCGTATATTCCCCGACCGCATGTCAAAATATCAATGATGAAAGGAAAATCTTTGCATGACATGACAATGGCTGAGCATGCTTTGACAATTTCTGCCCCTTGGGTTCCAAAACAAAGTCCTACATTTGCTTCTCTAAGGGCTTGTGCATCTCCAATGCCTCGTCCAATGAATGCAACCACATGGCCTTTCTGCTTCAAAGATTGGACCATAAGTAACTTGTCATCAGGAGTGGCTCTTGGCAGCACGCAGATATTTTCAATTTTCGCCATTAGCTCTTCTGAGCTAAACTTCCTGAATTCCTCACCATCTATCACTTCACCAGGCTGGTAATCGGGCTTAATTATTCAACACTTAGTAGCCATGATTGTGGCAGTTACTTTGTTATCTCCGGTGATCAATTTGACGTTGATTCCAGCTCTACGGCAATCTTCCACTGTTCCCCTTGTTCCACTTCGACGCTAATTTGTCAATCCGACAAGGCCTAATAGAATCAGCTGCTGTCGAGAGAAGGTGAAATAATCTCTTATTGATGTTTTCCCGTGTGCAAAAGCTATATATCTGAAGCCATTTTCTGCCATGCCTGCAAGAATTTGCTCAGATAAAGCCAAGGAACCTTTGTTCATCACTTTTACATTTCCAGTACTCTCATAATAATGAGAACACATTGGAATTATCACTTCTGGACCTCCCTTTCTATGTACGTGAATCGTATTGTCACCATTTTTACTAATCAAAACCCCGCTTTGCCTATTCTTCGATTTTAATGGGTTGATTTCAAGAATAGTGCAGCTTTTCTTCAGACTTTCCACATCCATATCTAACTGCTTAATTGCCCACTCAAAAATTGTCTTCTCAGTTGAATTTATAGAGGATGATGATGAAGACCTTGAAGGGGGTTGAGTAGTGTTTAAACCAATTCCTTGGTGCAGTAATTCAAGCACACTTGGAGCAATCAAATTATGCTGAACTTCTTCAATGGAGTTTAGACCTTGCCAGAACTTGGTCACCTACAGACAAGACAAATGAATCTTTTATTTCCATTGACATCAATCACGAAAGGAGCCTGTTGAACGTATGTACTATTGAAACTGACTTTGAAATCTGTATACTGAACCTGCCATTAACACTTTCCCTGTAGCATTTACATTTTACCTAATCTTCTTTAGCAATTTTCATTTCTAATCTCCTGTTATGCCTATATGACGGTATTATCTATTCACAAACAACTTTGCAGAAGTTGTTAATTGACCATGAAAAACAGATAAGTGCACTGGGAGAGGAAAAGTAGTACCTCCATGGAATCCATAGTTAAGGTTCCAGTTTTATTCATGCAGACAGTGGTGATAGATGCTACTTTATGGCAGATTAAAGGTTCTCTCACAATAATTTGAATCTTCATCAGTCTCTTCATTGAATAAGCAAGACACGTTCGGACAGCCGAAACCAAATCTTCTGGAGTAGATGTCAAAGCAATCATTGTTGGAGTAGCCAGAATCCCAACAATGACAGCAAGAACATCGCCAATTCTTGTTTCTCCACCAAAAGACACTCTTTTTCCGTTATCATCATGTAGTTTGCCTGTCAAGAAACGTACCAAAAATACCATAAATGTCAGCAGAGCAACTGTCTTACCAGATTTGCCTACTATAGAGGTGATTCTTTTGAGCTCGTCAATTAAAGACCCCCTCAAAGAAATTCCATGGTGCTTTACGTTCTTGCCAAATCCTGTCACTAGCATTCTGGCATAACCATCCACAACTGTACTGCCAAGAACAAGAATAAATTCTCGTGTGCATCCACTTCGATTCGATCAATTTGCCCATCTGTCTTCATCATCTCTGTATTCAGTGAACAGCCATCTATGAACAATCCATCGGCAGGAACTTGATCGCCAGGCTTTAGGAAAACTATGTCTCCGACAAGAACATGACATATTGGAATTCGCTGCTGATAACTGAAAATTCGCTGCTTCTCACAACATCAGACTCAGGAATATAGCTGCTGATAACTGAAAATTCAAGGCATTGAGTGATTGACCAGAATTTTCCGCTGGAGGAATCAATTACCACTACAAGAATAGCAAGTATTTTTGTCAACCCTTCTTGCCATCCTTGTCGTAGGCCATGTTTTTCAATGCCAAAACATAGAGAAAGCACAGCACAGATAAACAAAACAGCTATCATGGGATCTCTAATTGCTTCCAACACCAAACGGCGAAGTGTTTTTTGCAGATTATACTCGGGAAGAAGATTAGAGCCGAAGGCTTTTCTTCTGCTGTCAATGTCTGTTTGATCACCTCTGACGCCATTCTCCATATCTGTTTCCAGGGCTAACAGCACGCCTTCTATACTATACCTCCATGCTCTCGAAGCCATTTTTTATCTTGTGTTCTTACAAGCTTAGTTATATGTGCAGGATCAAACGAAGAGAAACGTGATGACTCAATGTCGACCATTGTAGTTGAATCTACTGTCTTGCCGGAGTCTCTGTCGGATGCCTGAAAGCTACTACTGCTTGGCATGTGGTTTAAGCGTGATTATATATAAAAGAGTCCAACGACAATACTGTTTAAGAAAAAATTTCTACGGATAATCTTGTCTATTTTATACAAGGAGATTACTTGTCACGAATAATTTAATATCAGGCCTACCAGGAATCTTACTCTCATACAAAGCTACATTTAAGTAAATAAATGCGACCTTTTAACAAGTCAAATTTTGTAGAGAAGATGAAACAACAAATACAAGGAACCTTCTTCTTCCACTTTCTTTTTGCTCGTTTTCTGGAAATTATGAGAAGTTGGTAGTAAAATGATACATTTATAATTGATTTTAGGTCTTGGTCTATGTATTTTTAAAATTTAACGCGGCAAGAGAAGAGAAAAGTAATTTCTTTAAGTTTGCTGACGCCTTTAGGGAAGGCTACTTAGGAAAGTGCCATATAGTTTCTCCTTATTTAAAGGGAAATTTACACAAACTGGCAAGAAAATGATTGATGGCAATCTTTGCACATCTATTATTTTGTCATCCAATGTTGACTTTGATTAAATTTACATTCAATGGATTTTAAAACTTTCTTGATGGGCCTCATTTGGTTGCTTTCTTGTAGTAAGGTGTCTCATTTTCGAAGATATTGAAAAATAAAATAGTTTTCTGCAATTTAATAGTTTTTTTAACAATTGAAAATATGGACCCAACTGGGTAAAGTAATGGTAATTTTCTAAAGTGTTGGGTTTTGATACTCAATGACTTCTGGCTATGATGATGTGAGAATATATATATTTCATGGGCCTCAACCAATGAGTGAAATATATACCAACAATCAAGTCCAATTACTCTACCCGACCCATTTATATTACCTCGTGGATGTCATTGAATTTTGGCTCATTTAGCTTTCTTATTGGTCCAATTAAAAGCCTAACCTAACATTATTTATATGATTCTAACCCTAGCCATTTTTAGTGTAGTTTGTGAGTTTGAAAGGAGAAAACATGGCTGCCCATTGAGAGAAAAATGACCACCTTTTGTGGTGCCAAAATCGATTGTTTTTATTTATGTATTCGGCCTCCTCTTCATGCCTTCTTTCATTGCCTTTCTCCTTGTCTTTGTGGCTACAAATCATCATCGTTATCTTGTCTTTCGTAGGTGAGATTGAGAAGCAACCTACGTAAATATATTGGTTGTGGATCTGAACCTATTGGATTTGTTATTGGGTGGAGAAAGATAACGTGATACTGAGCCTAAAAAATTCCGATTTGACAATCCTTGGAGTGAGCTTTTACGACAATTGATATCAAAGCTTCAAGATTGTACATTTGGTTAGAGAAACTTAGCCTAAAAAATGTCCAGGAAATCGGCGAAAACGAAATAGAAAACTCAGATTGAAAACTGTCTGAAAATTGTCCAAAAATTAAGGGTGGGACTGGGCCTTTACCCGTTTATGTACTCTCTTTTTTTTAAAATGTTTTGATGATTCATTTTGCTGCCTCCATTCATTAAAGTGTAATAGTTATTAAATTTTTTAATTAATTTATTTATTTTTAAGAGTTAAACTATTCTAATATATTTGGTAAATAATATTTTTTAGATAATCTTAGTTACCATATTTTATTAGAATTAATGAAATTTCATGGAATTTTTCGTTTAAAGTATTAAATTCTTAAAAAAAAAATTATCGTGGCGAAGCAGTGCAGGTGTTACCCGTACTCGTCTCGAGGTGGAATTCCCCTCTCCAAACTAGACCTAATACCCGATTAAGCAGGCAATCCCCACTTCGTCCGGGGGCGAGGCCTGCGAGTATAGGGTTTAGTGACTTTTTTGCCATCTCTATTCACTAGGAATATAAGAATCAGAGCTGGGAGTGCATAGCTTCGTTCGGAAAACAATTTTAGGAAACTAAAAATTACTTCTACCATCCCTATTAAAATCATACATTCAAAATTTTTACTCATAATAATCTGTACATTTCGTAGTCCCTGTTCATGAAAATATTGTTCATTTGAAGTACCGCAAATGTATTGTTTGTTAACAAGTAATAAAGTGGATGTAAGTTCAAGTATCGTCCCATGAAGATTGATTTAGTTGGATTTTGAGTATCGCCTTGAAACAAGAATAATAAGATGTGTTTGTGACAAAATTATATCTAAAAGAAGTTATTTGTGCAATTATGAGTGAATTTAACTAACTAAATGCATATTATGCTAAATGAAAGTTGATTCGCTCTAACGAATGACAAATAAGATCGCGAATTCTCATGTAATAATCCTTTTTAACCATAATTCTACACTTGGACAACACAATGATTTTTTAAGAATCAATGTTCCTAATTTATTCTTCAATCTCTCTCGAGGAATGTTAAATATCGTTACACCTTACTCAATTACAGTCAAAGTTAAATCCAAATAATGAATTAAGTTAGAGGAATGATTTTCATGGGGTTTAAATTTGAAATTGCTAGTACTTAAGAGGGCCCGAAATGATAAAAAAATAAATTTTGGGTTTTAGCTTCTAGTATGATAAATACGATGACTAAATGTTAAATTATATAAAAGTTGGGGACTTGTACTGTAATTATAGTTATGGGGTGAAATATGAAATACCTTAATTTAACACTTTAAAAAAAAAGAAAAAAAAAAAAGAAAAAGGAAACTGTAGGCGGTTAGCCCAAACCAAATCCATTTCTATTATATTTATATATATAGGTAATCCAAATCCATTACCCAAAAAGACACACACAAAACATGTAAGAGGGAAAATGAATCAGAGAGAAAAGGAAGAGAAAAGAGAAAGGAAAAAAAAAAAAAAAGGAAAGTTCGCCTATGTTGTTACAAAATAAGTGGTCTACATTATTAGGCTTGAATTCCTCAATTTTGAAAGGTAAGTAAAAAGTTACTTATTGTCAAGTTATGTTTGATTTTATAGTTGTTAGATTGTTAGATTAAATTCAATTTTATTGAAGGGGTTAAGTATAATAAACTATGAAAATGAGTAAGATGAAAGAAAAACTAGTTTTAGTATTTAAAGAGATTGTAGAAATCGTCCAAACGTAAAATGATTGAGTTTGGGCATTGTCTATTTAATTATTGAAATTATTTAAAATAATTAATTGTTTATTTAAAAATTATATCGTATTTCAGGAGACAATACTGACATCATAACAGCTTACCAATCGGGTTGATTTTGCGAACATAGTACTGTGAGTGAAAAATATAAATATTTTTAAAGTATTTATAAATTAAGTATATTGTTAAAGTATATGCAATTATGTACTCGAATCACATGGTTATTATGGGAATTTCAAGGATTATTTATTGTACGTTTGTGACTTGGTATATGAGACATGTGATATTGAGATTTGCTTGGTATGTGGGACGTGATATTGAGATCGACTAGAAAAGTACCCATTATTATGTACTTCTTCTAGTTCACAGAGGGGCCTTGGCCGTATTCTATCCTACATGGAGGGTTTTGACCTGACATTGGTCTTGATCGTGTACATATAGTTTACAGAGGGACCTTGACCGTGTTCTAGAATTGATTATGAGAGGTATTTTAGACCGACTTTCGTTCACGGAGGGGCCAAAGGCCCGTGGCGAAAGTCCTTAGCCTGAAGGGTAGATTATATATTTCAGTCAGAGGGTATTTTTGGTGGATTTTTCGGTACGGTTGATGTGATGAGATTATAGCATTGTTATCAGGTGATGTCTATATCATGATTTTGAGATGATATTTTATGACCTTATGTGAGTATTTCACTTTTGGTTATAATTACATGATGTTATCTTGTGAATTATTAAATGACATGAACTCCATTTTCGATAAAAATGTAAAATTGAAAAAGTATAATTATTTTCAAAATACTATACGCACTGAGTTATCAACTCATATATTTTCCCACAATTTTTCCTACATGTGGAAATTGATTCTTTTTAGTTGGAAGAGCCTAATGATTTTGGAATGAGAGCCACATGGCATGTTGAACATTATAACTCACATTGATGAAGCACAAAGTAAATATTTTTGGCCCATAGCATTATGTTTTACATAAGCATTTGATTTTGGTGCATTTTTTGAAATAAGTCATAGTCAGCCTTGGTGGTGGATCTGACATCTAACCAGCATCTATCATCGGCACACGTCATGTTTCGGGTCCACTAGGGTGATTCGGGACGGGTCGTGTCAAAGTGGTATCAGAGCATGGTTTTTGAAAATTTTTATGGTTCATACATGTTTAGTGGATATGATCATATGTCGTGGTGGCAGAAATAACAGACTCTCTAGCTCAAATGTATGGAACCAAAAAAATGATAGAAAAATATTTTTTTAATAGATCCAAAAAAAGACTAGTATGTAAATATGATAGTTGCAATGATCCGATTGCTGGAAAGAGTTATTAGTTGTTGGATTGAAATTGTTGTGTATTTAACCTATTAAGAGTTGAACATATTTTAATGATTTTACAGGTTGTTTATGTATAGGCATTCAAAGTGATAGGGTACAACCATTTAAGTACCAATCTTTGTGTAGAATTTCGTGATTTTTAATATACACTTGGGAAATCCCTAGTTCTAGCTTGTACTATAGTAACAGCGAAAACGATATTATATGTGTAAATGGTGATAATCAGGTGAGGAATTTTAATTATTTTGAGAAACTAAATGATTAGTGGCGTTATCAAAATTTTGTGGTGATTTGTGGCCACTTTCATGGGATAATAATAGAAACTATAATGGTGTATATTTATACTATATGATAAGAAATTGTGAACGACAAATGATGATTTGTTGATTGATAGATGACAATGTGTTATTGTGTATTTTAGGCATCGAGAAAATTAATAGTAGTTCCAATTATTTTGATTATTTATGAGTGGTTTG